TGCCCTTAGCAAAAAATGTTGGAAGTGAGATGTTAGAAGTTGCAGAGAGGATCCAGAGAACATGTGGTGAACAATGACATTTTTTCACAGCACCTTGAAAGGAAAATTAAGACAAACTTGCCTCCACAGAAGGAAATTAGGAAGTAAAAAAAAAAAAAAAATGTTGCTTCTCACATAAACACAAAAGGTCAAATCTAATGATTTCCATGAACTCAGGACTTGACTCCTCCATTTATTACCTTTTTGACCTGGAGCATTATTAAAACTGAGAGAACTGAATTAATCACTTTCTAAAGACTTATGCTTGTCTTAAACGCTTCATATCCGGGGAAAAAAAAAAAAGGTTTCTCATGGTAGAAATTGATACTTTATCAAATTGTCTATGAAAAATTACAAAAATAAAAAAGACTATTTTAAAAGCAGGGGAAAGGCTTGATTGAGAGAATACACCCAAAGAAGAAAACTTCCCTTAAGTAATGGAACACAGGGGTTAAGTTTTATGTTGTGAAGTCAGATACAGTGTCAAAATCTGTCTTCATCACTTACTGGCTGTGTAATTAGAGCAAACTAATTAACCTCTGTAAGCTGCATTCATTCTCTTTGTCTATAAAAGAGAAACAGTAATTAACTCATATCATTTTGTGATAAATAACATTACACATATAAAGTTCTTACCTTGGTACATTCATAAATATTCAATAAATATTAAAAGTGATAATGATGAACGATATGGGTGTTCCTTAGAATGCACGCATTTCTTCTTTGGGATATTTACAGCAGGATGAAAGAAAAGATTGCCTGCCACATACTGACAGCATGTATTAGTATATGGAGGGTGAGAGTGAGTTAGTAAGAGAGCCAAGTAGAAGGTTAACACCAGAGACAGGATCCAAGGCACTGGCAGCCACGTCTTTGGCATGCGGGAGGAAGACATTGGCAGAAAAGAATCAGAGCTATTACAGAGAGGAGGCAAGATTGCGGCCAATTATCTTTTTATTTCTGTCTTTTATACAAGATAAGGGCAGAAATTAGAAAACAAATAGGCAGTATCAAAGAGAAAGTTGAGAGCTGTATAGTATTCAGAATGAGATGTGGAGAGACGGTGGTGGGGCACAGGAGCACACTGCAGAAATAACAGTAGCTGCAGTGAGAAGTGACCAGATGATGACTGTAGTATTTTTTAAAGTAACACAAAAGTAGTCTTATCAGGGAACAGAACAACAGTTATTATAAACATAGATGAATTTCACATTATTATCCCTCTACTGTCTTAAGCCCTTAGGTGAGTTTCTACAAGTATATTATAGCCTTATCCAAATATCTACTTTGTATTTTCAACTTTTTTATTTGCCCTGACTCACACAATTTAGACAGGAAGACTATTAGAATTTCAGTTTGGGAAATTTTAAAAGCTGTCTACTTCAAAGCAATATGAAGGGAATAAGAAGAACAGTCGTAGAAGTTGGGGAAAATCATTAGCTCAGCTTGGCACTCTGTTTATCCAAAGCCAAGTTAAAGTGCATTGAACTTCAAGAGAAGAGCTTTAATTCCCTTTGGATTTGTGTGAGGCTTGGAATCTTTCATTTCTAATGTGAATCCTCAAAATTCCATCTCCTGCTGTTCCCTCAAGGGCTCCATCTAGTGATGCAAATTTGAGAAAGAGCAGTATGTTCTATTCACGGGTAAACGTGGGCTTCTAAACTGACATCTACCATTTGTGTCGTCTTTACAGAACAATATTGTTTGCAGGTGAAAACAATATTGATGTAGGTGAAAAATGTATCTATGGTATCATTAAAACCGGTTATCTCCCAATAGATATAGCTCTTTTATTTTCTCCTTTAAAACCTAAATTTTTATTAATCTAACTTTATAAAACTAAACTTTATCTTAAAATAATGAAGCAAAAAATATCAGGGAAACTTTTTTTCCCAAATCCTTAACTTGAAAATGAGGAGAGTGAAGTGAAGCCCAGAGTGTTTTAATGACTTTCTCAAGTACTTCTTACTCATTATGGGAGAAGAATCCAAAGTAAAACTTGGGTTTTAATTCTGGAGGTTGCTTTCTTTTCATGTGCCATATATATTCATGATAATTTGAAATAGATGTTATATCAATGACTTTGAAAGACTTCCTTGAATAAAAGCTTATTACCTTTGCTTTGTACCTTCCATTTTAAAGTAGTAAACCTCCATCACAGCCCTTTGGGAATTGGTGGGTATACAGAAATAATCAGTGAAATGTTACCTATCCCTCAATATTAAATTGAGTCCTACAGGGATGCTAAAACACAAAAACAGGGAGATAAAGGAAAAACATTGTTATCTTTATTATTTTATTGTTATGGATTATTTATGATTGATAGCTTTATTCTCAATGACGTAGAATGTGCCTCCTCATTACAGAAGGTTTCCAGCACAGGATTTAGAGAAAGCTCCTCAGTCAGATTTCCACCGGTTGTTGAGATTGGCAGGAGAGTTAGATATTCCAGGAAAGGGAAAGGTTAAAGCACAAAAGTCAATAACACTAAGTGGAACAGCAAGAGAAACACTAACAAACACTAACAGCCATCTGATATTCCTGATCGAGAGAGGAATTTTCTTAAAAAGCATGATATTATTCAAACTTTCTTTACATGATGTTAATCTATGTTAGGCATCAGTCCTTATATACAAGGGTGAAATATTTAAGCTTGTTTTGCTTTTTCCTCTTAATACTTACACCACACAGAGCTTCTGAGAGTTTTCTTAGGGTCAACCACAATATCAGTCAAATAAGAAATAGAAAGTAAAGGGACCGTGATTATTTTTGTTGGTTAACAAAATGTATTGTTTGAAAAGATTAGAATTTTGAGAGAAAATAGTTTCTTTATTGAGGTCGGTGCCCATTTAAATGAGGTATGCTGAGCTTCCTGATATATCTTCCTATTTTATTAAACAAATAATCTATAGATCTAAAGTCTTATTTCTCATAAGTTATAGTTTCCCTTTATGAAAACACCTAGAACCAAAGGTATGCAGGAACAATGCAAGAGCATCTAACAGTCTGTTCTCCTGCCTTAAAATGGTTACATGTCTCCCTGCTAACTCAGATATATTTATAATATCTTTACAACATATAAATACATAGATTATTCACTCTCTTTTACTCTGGAATAAACAAACTTCATTATGGAACATTGCTCAGATTCCTTTATCTATTGTTAATTCTTCATGATGCCATAGTAAGGTTTAATTTCAAAAAGTTATATGTAATGTTTACATATTACATTTTGGATCAAGCACAATTTATATTTAATGGCCTCACTTCATTTTCAATAGGTCAGGATTGGTTTAATGGAGAATGAAAAACAAGATCCTACAAAGTGGAATAATTGATCTAGTAGGAGCTATTTGCAAAACTTATTGAGAGGTGGCCTCCAAAAGTGTCCTAGGAAATCATAAAAATAGCAATTGACACCAACAGAGCAGATCATAAAGAAGATATTTGCATCACAAGTCTTTAAGAAGGGCTATAGCAGAAATTAGAAAGAACCCTTACAAAGCAATAAGAAATGTGAGACAACCATTCAATAATAGGCAAATAATTTGAGCAGACACTTCACAGAGCAGTAAATTGACATAGCCAATAAACACAAGAAAAGATATTCAACTTTGTTAGTCATTATGTAAACAAAATGAAAACAATTAAGTTAAATATGGTTTAGGAAAAAAAAGTAAAGTCACATCTGCAAAAAATCTTAGAACACCAGAGGCCAAGTCCACTGCTTCAGAATAGGATTTGGACTACAGAGCTATATCTGCTTCCTTTGAAGTAGGCAATATACTCATGGCCTGCGAAATTTAGAAGCCATAAAAAAGCACTTTTTGGGGAAGAAGAGAGCTTACAGAAAGGGATATATTGTTCCTCACCTGGATCTGGGGGCACAGACTTTGCTCCAAAAACATCAAGAGTTCAATTTAAGAATAAACTAACAGAGATGTTCTTTAGATCTCATAAGCAGTTACACAGTTTATTTATATGTAAAATTTTACCAAGCTATATAATTAAGATATGTGCTATAGTGTATATAGGTTATGCCTCCATTAAAATGAAGAAGTGAGCCAATTAAACTCTTCTAGTGGACAGGACCCATACGCATAAAGAATTTTGCTATATTTTTTCAGTGAAATATCATACGAGGCTAGATCCCATGGCCCAGGATCCAGGCTGGCCCACATGGACTCAGACTCCAGGTCTGCCTCGCTCTAGACTGGTTCCCATGGCCCCAGAGTCCCAGCCAGCCCCTGGAATCCCACACTACAGATTTACTTTAACAAACCCAGGGTCCAGAACTGCTACAGTACATTCCAATACCAGACTGGCCCCATGGACCCAAGCTCCAGGACCACTGCTATAGATCCAGGCTCCAGGACAGACTTTGTGGATCCAGGACCAAAGACCCAAGCCTACTATTATATCATGGACCCAGGTCCCAGTCCCACTGCAGCTTCCAACTGGCTGCTATGGATCCAGGCTTCAGGCTGGTCTTTGTGGATCCCACCTCCAGGCCTGCTTCTGCGGACCCAGACAAAAGGTCCACCGCAGTAGACCATGGTGCCTGGACAGCTTCTGTTTTTCCAGGTGTCAGACCTGCTCAACATTAATCCAAACACCAAAGCCGTCTCTCTAGAAATTCTTTTACATGGCCCACACAGAATCTCTAGATAAACTGACTGGTGCAGGGTTTTCCCTGCTGTAGCCAGTCTATAAAGGCTGGAAAAGGTACCTGCTCATCAAATGCACAAACTCTAGGGAAATAGAGATCTATGAGTTACCTGTAAAAGAATTCAAAATAATCATCTTGGTCAGGTACAGTGGCTCATACCTATATCAGCACTTTGGAAGGCCGAGGTTGTAGAGTCACTTGAAGCCGGGAATTTGAGACCAGCCTGAGCAACACAGCAAGACCCCTTCTCTACAACTTTTTTCTTTAATTAGCTGGCCATAGTGGCACTCACCTGTAATTCCAGTTGCTCAGGAGGCTAAGGTGAGATGATCACTTGAGCCCAGGAGCCTGAGGCCACAGTAAGCTATGATCATGCCACTTTACTCAGCTTGGATGACAGAGCAAGATCCTGTTTCAAAAAATAACAGTAATCATTGTCATTAACACCATCTTAAAGAGGCTCAGTGAGAACAAGAGGACACAAATATACAACTAAGCAAATATTAGGAAAATAATACATGAATAAAATGAAAAGTTCCAAAAAAAATGGAAACTATTAAAAGTAAAATCAAATAGAAATTTTGAAGCTGAAGGACATAAAGATTGAACTTAAAAATATCATAGAGACTTCAACTACAGACTTCATCAATCAGAAGAAAGAATCTGTGAGCATAAAGACATGTCATCAGAAATTATCCAGTTATAGAAACAAAAAAAAATGAAAAGGAGTGAAGAAAATCTGCTGAATTTATAGTACATCATCAAGAGAGTCAATGTATGCATTATAGGAGTAACAGAATGAGAAAAGAAAGAGAAAAAGCAGAAAGTTTACTTAAAGAAATAATGGCAAAAATCTTCCCAAATCTGGAGAGAGAAATTAATGTATAGATTCATAAAGCCAAAAGTAACAAAATAGACTAAATACAAAGAAATCTTCACAAGACATATTATAATTAAATTATCAAAAGTCAAAGACAAAAAGAAAATTTTGAAAGCAGAAAGAGAAAAGTAACACATCACATATAAGGGAACCCCAAAAACACTTTCAACAAATTTATCAGCAGAAACCCTGAATCCAGACGAGAGTGGAATAATTTATTCAAAGAGCTAAAATTTTTAAAAAGTGGCAACCAAGACCACTATACCTACTAAGACTGCCCTTCAGATATAAAGGAGAGGGAAATATTTTCCCAAACAAAAGCTATGGTAGTTCATCATCACTACACCTGCCTTACAAGAAATGCCAGAGAAAATTTTTAAAGTTGAAAGGAAAGAATTCTAACTATAAACGTAGAAACATATAAAGCTATGTAACTCACTGTATAAGTCTACTTTTACAAGTATGTTACAGTGCAAATAAAAATTTATTAAATTATGCAGCACCAATCCACATAATTTAAATCATTTTATTGCACAATTTGATTTTTAATTATATTCATTTCTTTTCTGTTCATTCTACTAAAATTGTATATCACTTAGTTCTTATGACGGATAAAAGTTAAAGCAGTCATTATGCATTTGGCAAAACCCATAGAATTGTACAATGCATAGTGAATCCTAATATAAAATAGGAACTTTAGATAAACAATAGTGTGTCCATATTGATTCATCAATTATAACAAATGTGCCACACCAACACAAGATGTTAATATAAAGGTAACTGTAGGGATGGGAGATGAATATATAGGATCTCTGTACTTTATGTTCAATTTTTCTGTAAATCTAAAACTGCTCTAAGAAACAGAGTCTATTAACTTTAAATAAATAAATAAAAATAAAATAAAACTCACTTTAGGAAAAAATATAGTGAAATTTATATACTCTAATATAATGGTAGTGCATAAATAGCCTTCAAATCTAGTATAATAAAATACAAAACTATAGGTACAATAATTTGTTAATAGATATAACAATAGATAAATTGTTAATATATATCTATTATATGGATATAATAGGTATATATTATATAATAGATATATAGATTCACAATAATAGATTTGTTACTAGATACATTTAAAATGTAAATTGTGGCATCAATAACATAAAAACTGGGAGGGGGAGGAGAAGTCAAAGTATAGAATTTTTTAATGTTGTCAAAGTTAAGTTGTTATGAGCTTAAAATAGATTATTATACTATAACGTGTTTTATGTAAGCCTCATAGTAACCACAAAGAAAAAAAATCTATAATCAGTACATAAAAGACAAAGAGAAAGGATTGAAAGTATATCACTACAAAAATACCATCAAATCACAAAAGAAGACATCAAGAGATGAAGAATGGAACAAAGGGACCACACACTAATCAGAAAACAATTAACAAAATGGCAGCAGTAATTATTTACCTATCAATAATTACTTTGAGTGTAAATAGATTGAATTCTACAATCAAAAAGCTTAGAGTGGCTGAATGAATTAAAAAACACAAAATTCAACTACGCACTGCCTACAAGATACTCACTTTACCCTTAAGAACACATACAGGTTGAAAGTGAAGGAATGGAAAAAGATATTTCATGCAAATGATAACTAAAAAAGAGCAGACATGACTATATTTATGTAAACAAAATAGGCTTTAAGTGAAAAACTGTGGGTAGAGACACAGAAGGTCATTATATAATCATTAAAGAGTCCATTCATCGAGAAGATTTAATGATTGTAAAATGATATGCACCCAAGATCAGGGCACCTAACTGTAAAGCAATTATTAGCAGAACTGAAGAGAGAAATAACAATACAATAATAGGAGACAGCAATACAATAGAAGGAGACTTTAATACCTTACTTTCAACAATGGAAAAAGCTTACAGGCAAAAAATCATTAGGGATAGGGAAACCAGCATATCTAAATAACACTATAGACCGAATCAACCTAATAGACATATCTAGAACATTCCATCTAACAGCAGTAGAATATGTATTATTTTCAAGTACACATGAAACATTTTACATGGTAGATCACATGTTAGGTCAGAAAACAAGTCTTAACCAATTTAAGAAGACTGAAATCATATCAAGTATCTTATCTGACCACAATAGCGTGAAACTAGAAATTAATAACAGTCAAAACATTGGAAAACTCACATAATGTGGAAATTAAACAACACACTCTTGCACAGCAAATGGGTCAAAAAGTATATTAAAAGGGAAGTCTTAACCAAGGAGGTGAATAGTCAGTACACTAAAAGCTATAAAGCACTGACAAAAGAAATTGAGCAAGACACAAATAAATGGAAAAATACCCTGTCTTCATGGATTGGAAGAACTAGTATTGTTAAAATGTCCATAATATCCAGGGTGATCTACAGATTTAATGCAATTCCTACCAAAATCCAATGGCATTTTTCACAGAAACAGAAAATCCTAAAATTTCTATGAAAAAAAAAAAAAGACCAAAACACTCTTGAGTAAAAATAACAAAGCTGGAGGCATCACACCATGTAATTTCATAAGGTACTACAAAATGATGGTAATTAAAATGGCATGGCACTGGCATAAAAGCGACATATAAACCACTGGGACAAAATAGAAAGTCCAGTAAACCCATGCATTTATAAATCAATTGATCTTCAAAGAGGTGCCAAGAACACACAATAGGGAAAGAACAATCTCTTCAATAAATGATGTTGGAAAATTGAATATCCACATGCAGAAGAATGAATTTGGACCACATCATATATAAAATATTACACCATCTGCAAAAGTGAAATCAATTAAAGACTTAAGTGTAAGATCTGAAACTGTAAAATGGCTAAGTGAAAACACAGAGAAAAGTTTAGCATTGATCTGGCCAATGATTTTTTAGATGTGACCCCAAAAGCTCAGGTAACAAAAGCAACAATAGACTTGCATCAAACTAAAAAGCTCTGTAGAGTGAAAGCAACAATCAACAGAGTGAAGATACAACCTACACAATGAGAGAAAATATTTGAAACCATATATGTATTGATGAATATGCAAAATATGTAAGAAAATCAATAGCAAGAAAACAAATAACCCAATTTAAAAATGGGCAAAGGACCTGAATAGGCATTTCTCAAGAGAAGATACACAAGTGAGCAGTAAGTATTTGAGAAATGCTCAGCATCACTAATCTTCAGGAAAATGCAAATTGAAACCACAATGAGAGATGACCTCACACCTGTTTAAATGGATTTTATCAAAAATACAAGAAAAGTATTGGCAAGGATGTGGAGAAAAGGGAGCTATTGCACACTTTTGGTGCAAATGTCAGTTAGTACAGTCATTATGGTAAACAGTATGAAAGTTTCTCAAAAAGTTAAAAATACAATTACTATATGATCCAGATATCCCACTTCTGGATATATATTTAAAGGAAAAAATCAGTATCTTGATGTTATGCTGCATTATTCACAATAGCCATTTATGAGATCAAGCTAAGTGTCCATCAGCTGATGAGCACATAAAGAAAATGTAGTGTGTGTGTGTGTGTGTGTGTGTGTATTAGAAGGCAATATTATTCAACCTTTAAAAAAAAGAAATTCTGTAGTTTGTGACAACACGGATGAACCTGGGGCATTTTACTAAGCAAAATAAGCCAGACATAGAAATATAAATACTGCATGATTTCACTTATAGTAGAATCTAAAGAAAGTAGAATGGTGGTTGCCAGGGGCTGGGATTGGGGTTGGAGAATGGGGAGACAAATGTTGATCAACAGGTATAAAGTTTCAGCTAGACAGGAGGAATAAGTTCTAGAGATCCATTTTTACAGAAGGGTAACTATAGTTAATAATAATGTATTGTATACTTGAAAATCAGTAAGGGAATAGATCTTAAATAGTCTCACTATACACACACACACACAAAGGGATCACTATGTGAGGTGAAGAATATGTTAATTGGCTCATAGTTAATTAACTCTTGGTAATTGTTTTACAATGTATACACATATCAAAACATCACATTGTATATTATAAGTATATACAAGTTGTATTTGTCATTTATACTTCAATAAAGCTGATGGTAGAGAATTTTACCACTGGAGGTAATAAAGACAGACACTATAATGTAGAGCTAAAAGTTTTGGGATTCTGATGGAAATACATACATACAGGAAGGAGACTGGAAGATTTTGGATGATGGCTAAGTTTTCCTGGACCTATATTTTTACAAATAAGAGTGCCCTGCTGAAAAAAAATAAAATAAAATAAAATAAAACACTGTGGAACTCATGTTCCATTTAGTATTATGATACTAGGAGTATCAGCTTCAAAAGGAAATAGAAATTCAGATTTCTCATAAACTAAGGGGAATAATTCCTTAAGTAAACTGTATACAATGTTTACACAATTTTAAAGAAAACAGGGAGTTTCACATT